TCCTCTGGGTTGATGGGTTCTCAAGGCTGGCACCAACTTTATCTCTCTTCCTTTGGCTGCCTGTCCCTTGGCCTCCGGAGCAGGAGGCAGAGAAGGGCAGGAAGGGTTTACGAACCCTGAGGTCCCAGGGGATTCATTCCGGTCCTTGAAACCCCAAGCGCGTTCCCTCCTGGGGGTCTCTGCCCCTGCTGTGTCCCCTGTGCAGAATGATCGCCCTGTAGGTTTTTGTGTGGTTGACTCCTTTCCACCATCACACATGGGCTGATGGATGAGTTCCCCTGAGCACCGGCTCTCAAGCTGCCTGCTCTCCCATGCTCGCCTCCATCACCCTGCCTGCTTTGTCTGCCGCAGACGTATCGCTCTCCGGGACACAGCTCTGGTCCTGAGCTCCTGTATTTCCACTTCTCCCTCAACCCCACCCTCACACCCAGATACTATAAACTTCGAGAGCTCAGGGATCTTGTCTATCTGTCCTGTTCCCTGCTCTTACCCCAAGGCCTTGACACGGAATAGGAGCTAACAAAGTACTTGTTGAATAAATGGATGTCAGAGCTGGTGGTTGGTCATGGAGGTCAAATAGCCATCCTTATTCTGAAGCCCAGAGAGGGGAAGAGGCTTTCCAAGACCACCCAGTGAGCTGGAAGGCAGCTGGGGCAGCTTTGGCTCCAGATCCAAATGCCTTTCTCATTTTTCCTCTAATCTTCCAGAGTAGTGTGGGGGACCAACCAGATGGCAGGGGCTCTGGAGCTGGTCACCTGGGTTCCAGTCCCACCTCTGACTTTACTAGATGTACTGATCCCAGGCAAGTTCCAGAATGCCAGTTCCCTGTTGTATAAAATGAAAATAACGGTGGCACCCAACTCCAGTGGCTGTGTTACCAGTGCTGCACGGCGATTGTATTGCCCTCACATTTCAGGGGGAGAAGCAGAGGCTCAGAGGGTTCAGTGACTTGCTCAAAGTGACACAGTAGCCAGAACAGTAGCTCAGGAACTCGGCTCTCTGCCCTTGACATTGCTCCAAGGCTGCAGAATCTGGGCCTCCTGGAGGGCCCCTTCCCCCGCCTCCTCCCATGGCTGTGGCCTGATTGATAAGAGCAGGACTGCTGACTGGGGTTCACTAGCCTCTCTCTTCACAGGGCTGCCTCCTGTCAGGCCAGAAAGGCAAGTTTACAAAATAGATTTTAAAGCTTCCCAGACCGGGGAGCTGGTTTACATGCCCCGGGGGCCGGTGCTGCTTTTGGCTTCTAATGAAAGCAGACTCCCGGTTCCCAGTGAGCTCAGAAGAGGTGCTTAGCCTGATAGCAGGCAGCCATGGTTGGCTACAAGGAGGCGCCAGGCTGTCCTCGATCTCCTCGATCTCGGGGGCCCAGGGCTCCTGCCCCCGGACCCCTTCGGTCAGTTTGCGGCCCTCTACCTGCTCTGTCTCCACTTTCCAAAACCTACAATGGGCGGGGGAGGGGGTCTCAAATTGGTGGGATGAGTCTGCTTTGGCTGGTAGATGAGATGGGCTGATCCAAATAATAATACTTTTTAAAATTGAGCCAACATTTAAAAGTAAGATGATTTCTTATTTAAAATAAAATTGGTTTCTAGCTTTTCTTTAAAAAATTTGGAAGACTTATGGGCAACTTGAGAGCATACACACATCCACACACCTGGTTCCCATGGCAACAGCCGCCCCCTCTCTAGACAGGGCAAGTTTTTTCCAGTTTCCCACAATTCCCACCTCTCCCCGATGCTCCTCTACCTCTTCCCTTATTACATCTCCTGCATGTCACCTGGAGGGCCTGAGTCTGAGACCTTCATCCTGCTGGACAGCCTGGTACAGAGTTGGTCCAGTGCATTCATTTTACTGAGGACACGGAGGCCCAGAGAGCAAAGTGACTTGTGCAAGGTAGCCCAGGTAGCTGACCATGCAGCCGAGACTAGAGTCCAGGATGTCCTCTCCCAGGGACGCAGTTGCTGACCTGAGCACACCTGGGCTCCAGGGTTTTTCCTCTTTGATGTTGGGAGGCAGCTGCAGCCTCCTCCACATGGCTCCCGCCCCCCAGTGGGGCTGCCAGAGAGAGCAATGAAAACTCAGGTCTGATCTCATTATGTCACTCACTTCCCAGCTTTGAGAAGAAAGAACATTTTTCTCAGTCTAAAGATAAAGTCAATCTCCTTGGGATGACATTCTAGGATTGAACTGTGTGGCCTCGGCCCACCTTTCCTGCTTCACTCTGTCACTCTGTCTGACCCTCCCCTGCAGCCGGTCCTGTCCATCCTTTTACCAGCCTCTCTTCCACAAACTCACCGCTGTGCCCTCTTTTCAGGCTACAGGCCACGCCCCTTCTGTAGATGAAATTCTGCTTGGCCCTCAAGGCCTCTACTACATCGCTTTCTCCAGGATGCCCTCCTTGACTCCTGATCCCACTCCTCTCCTTTGCTTTCTGTTCACACTCCTCCCCCCACCCCATGAGAGTACGGATTGCTGTGTTCTTGTCCCAGGTGCCGTATGAGTCCTATTTACCTGCTGGCCTATTGATAGTAACTTTTACTGAGTGCTTATCATGTGCCAGGCTGAGTCCTTTACAGGGATTAACTAAAAATTCAATAGTCCTTCAAGGTAGGGAGATATCCGAGTGAATGTAAGGGAAGGAGGGAGGGAAAAGAGAACAAGAGAAAGAAAAAGGGAAAAGAAGGAAGGAAGCGAAAATAAGGAAGAGTGCCCAGTTCTTCCAGCTCTTTCTGTGTTGCTAGGCTATAGTTTAAAACTGATCACGCACCTTGTCCCTGGCACAGGGCCTGGGTGGGTAGAGGGGCACAGTGGGGGCACGAGACAGGAAGGGACAGACAGCTCTCTTTACCCTCTGAGGGAGGGTAAAGCAGCCTCTGAGCGAGGCCCATCATGAACAATGGTTCTCCCCAGCCCCCAGAACCAGGGCAACAAATTAGCACCCGAGCCCCAGGATGTCAAGCGCAATGCGATGAGCCAGAACATGGAAATGTGCACCACCAGAGACTGAGCCCAGGATGAGAAAGGTTAGAACTCGAGGAAGCTGGGAGTCCCAGTGTGGAGACCACAGGAGGGAGGCCCCGACCAAGTGGAGAATGGCTGCCCACGGCACGAAGTCCGAGCCCAAACTGCCTCACTGCTGCCTGATCAAATATAACTGTGACCCAGGTCACAGATTAGAGTCAGGGTCCCGGATTAGAGCCGGAGTTAAGTACCATGGGAATTCAAGGGGAAAAAAATTCCCATAAAATTCAATTTAAGGATTAAGCAGTCATGCTTTCTGGTGAAGCCTTCGTCCTGCGATTATTAAATCACCCCGTGCTGGAGCAGGGTTTCTCTCACCAGGAGGTCCCCACGCTGGCTGGGGGTTGCACAGTTGCTTGACTCATGGTGCCACTGGTCTCCAAGGCCATTCTGTCTGGTCCTTGGGGAAGGAGGGGCTGTGTCTGCTTAACCCGCCCCTGCAATCAGTCACGCCACCCTTCTATTGTCTCCTGCCATTGGATTCGGAAGAGAAAAAAAGAGAGGAAGAGTGGAGGGTGCCAGGAGAGCCCGTCCCCACAGCGGGCAGCTGTGAGTGTGCAGACCGCACAGTGCAGACAGCATCATGCTGCCTGAGCAGCACTCGGGGCAGGCAGGCTGCATGCAGACTACAAGGAAAGACCCGAAAGGGGTCTTAGAGATCCCCGAGTATATCTCACCCCAGATGAGGAGAGCAAGACCCAGAGGGTAGAGCGACTCACCCAAGGCCACTTGGTTAAGTGGCAGGGCTGGAAGCTCTTGATCTGGGCTTCACTCTTCAATAATAGCACAGGCCATTTAAATAGACAGTTAGAGCTAGGTAACATCTGTCCCAGGGCCTTGATTAGAATTGTCAGGAACAAGGTATTTCCCCCTAAGTTTGTCCAGCTGGTAAAATGTAACCCTAGAGCAGCTGAATCTCATCTTTGTCACCAATTGGACAGAGTCTGACTAAGGATTAAGCTAGAGGAAACACAGCTAAGAGATGGAAAAAGACAGACCACAGAGGATATCTTTTGAGCACCTGGATCCAGCCATACCTGAATGTAGTAACATTGCTGGTTTCGGTTGTATGTATCAAAAATCTTTCAAGTCCAAGATCATTTGAATTGGGTTTCTGTCATTTGTAGCTATAAGAATACTGACTAATACAGTTTCCCTTTTATGCAAGAGGTATTTCAAATCTCTAAGAATGGCCTGCAAAGCTCTGCTGGGCTTGGCACAGCTGCTCCATAACCCGGAGCCCAACCCCGCACGACAATGAAGGTTTCATGCTTCAGCCACACCAAGCCTCCTGTGGGGCCCACCACCCGGCCTTTGCATCTCCACGAATGTCTCTGTCTAGGGTGCATTTTCTTCTTGTGTGCCTGGAAAACTCTTCATTCTCCAAAATTCTTCCAGTAATTACTCTTTTCCCTCAGACTTGCCAGGCGAGTCATTTCCCCCCTGGTGCCATGTCAACCATGCAGTGTGTCCCTACTGTGCTTTTCCTCCTGGTTTGGAATGGCCCATTTATTCTTTTGCTTCCCCCGAAGGAAAGGGACCAGTTTTCAAATACCTTGACATCCATCTGCTGTGCTTAGCATAGCTCTGGGTACCTCGGATGGGGCTTATTAGATGTTGCGGGATTGAGTAGAACATGGAACAGAAAGGCAAAAACGGAATACAATTGGTGGATAGCTCTCAAGGCCAACCAGGGGGAGCCCCTGCCCCTGAATAGCTCCTCCAATTATCTGATTGGCCCATCCCCGCCCGCCCCGGTTATGAGCATTGGTTCCAGAGCCGCATCATGTGGGTTCACAGCTGGGCTCTGTCCCTTCCCACCTGTGTGGCTGTAGGAAGGATTGTTAACGTCTCTGGGGCCCAAGCTGCTTTTCTGTGGTTGGGATGGACTTAGTGATGTGGTGTCTGGAAAGAACTTGGAACAGCGCCGGGCACATTGTAAACACCCCATAAGTGCTAGGCGTTAGGATTCGCTGCAGAGAAAACAGGGCCAGAATTAACAAGAACTTTGATGAGGACCTTTTGTGCCTATCATTTCATATTAAACGATATTTTATGTGAGTGCTCACTGTGTCGCCCCGTTTAATTGATTTAGAAGCACTTCTGAAAGCTTGCCACTGCCTGGAGCACAGGTATGCCGTTTAAATGTGATTAACAAAGATGTTTGTGGTCATTTTAGAGAAGGTTGAACATCAGGTCTGTGCTCAAGAACATCATTACATCGTTTCCACGGGAGAATTAGATTAGATTTAGATCATTTCGACTAATAAGTGCATTTTACGAGCCCAGGCTCTCCCCCGCCGGTGAGAAAACAGCCCCGGAATGGAGAAGCTCACTGCACCACTGGGCTCCGAGACCCCGCTCACTGCCTGGCCTTGGTCGCCAGAACCGGGCATTGAAGCTTCGCCTCCCGCCACGCCACGGTGTAACTGGAAAAGAGCCTCAGCTCCCCCGGGAAACGGCACCTTCCCACAGGACTGTCTCTAAAGATTTGAGGGCTTACCGAAGTAGGCTCCAGGCTGCCCTTTCTACGGAGGGTTCCAGAGGGCCAGAGGGCCCCCGAAGCTTAGTCCTGAAAGCCTCCTGGGAGCCAAGCATTGTCCTTAGCGCGTTATCTCACTAAACTCACAGCATCCCGGTGGGAAAGATCCCGTGATTTAGACCCCTTTCAGGTGAGAACACAAGGCCCGGAGAGGTGAGCTGACGTGACGGAACTGTAACGTGGAGCAGAAGCCAAGCTGTCTTGCCCCAAGGCCTGCGCTCCTCCCAGACCTCCCAGCTCTGTCCTGGGGTTTTGTGCCCGGGAGCCTTTCCCCAGCCCGACTCTGAGCCAGGCTCTGCTTCAGCCCCCTCTCTATGCCTTACTGGTTCCTGCTGCCAGTCCTGGTGGAAAATTCCAGGACAGATTCTCCCTTGAGGAATACACAAATGACCACTCTTGCGGTGTTTAAGCTGCTGGAGCCAGCTTCCAAAAGGGGCTTCGCCATGAAGACAAGTGTTTCTAAATAGAGCAGCTCATCCTGGAAATGGACAGCTCAAAATTCATACTCTACTGTTATCCCAAGGTTAAGATGAATGGCTCGTGGTCTGCATGACCGCTGAAATGCTCCTCCAAGGGTGTTATTAGCTGAATTTGGGATGTGGGGTTCCGAGGCCGACAGGAGCCTGGCTGTCTCGGGATTGGTGGCATGTTTGGGATTTGGCTCACCTTACATGAATGAGGGACTGTGTTGATGTCAAGATGTCAGGACACTCGCCTGGGGACACTAAAGTGCCAGGTCAGGCCCCTTCTCCACCCCCTGACAACAAGAAAGAAAAGTCAGCCCTCTATCCTGACTCCCTTACACTGACATGCAGACAAGGGTGTTCATAAAAGAGGTAATGCTGTGGCTGGCATCTCACAACATTAATGTCCTCTCTTTCCCCCGCTTCCCTCTGCATGGCAAGGACTCTGAGGACCTCGAGGAGACCAGAGCTGCAAGGTGGAGGGACCCCGGGCCCCTGAATGGGTGCATGGAGCAGTGCTCTCTCTCCCCCACTAACCTGCTTTGGACTTGAGAGAGGAGTCCAAACAAATTCTTCTTGCATTAAGTGCCTGAGACTGGGGGGTTGTTTGTTACAGCAGCTGTCCTACGCTGACTGATACACTCTCCCTTCACAGGCTCAGTCCTGGGCCCTTTTCTCCATCTGCTCTTATCCCTGAGCCGCGGGTTTCACCATTTGTTTCCTGGTTTCTGACCTCCCCTCATCCTGGGACAGTTCTCCTCCTGCTACACCGAAGCCTGTGCTGGTGGTTAAGGCTCCTCTCTGGTTCTTCTAGGCCTGCTGGGAAGTCACCACTCATGCCTGAGGAACCACTTAAGGAGGAAAAAGCAGACTCTCTGGACTGAGAGATGAGCCCTTGCTTCCTATCTGGGTTCTACCACAAACCTGGTTTGTGACTGTGGATACCTCAGTTCCCTTCTCTGGGTTTCAGTTGCTCCACCTGTAAAACATGAAAGGTAGATTTTAAACCTCTGATAGGTGCAGTTGGGCTGGATTCGGTTGTTAAAGGAGACTCACAGGACTCCACGTGGCAATACGTATAGGTCTGCAGCTTATTGCAGGACCAGGCGATGACATAGAGACTGCATTAATGCCAGGATGTCGTACCTCCTGGCCAGGGGTCTGGAGAGGCCAGGCGCAGGCTCCTCACCTCCTCTCTCCCTCAGGGGCAGGAGCACGGGATGCCTGCGAACTGGGCAAGAGTCTCAGCTTTGTATTTTTGTACTTCGCTGGTCATGTGGTCATTTTCCTGCTCCAAAACCAGCCTCAAAAACAAAGCCCCTTGGGGGTAACCCCAAGGTCAGGTGCAAATTGTCACTCTCACTGTTGTCCATACGTAGTGCCAACAGGCTGCTGTGAGCTGCCCTGGAGTCCACCGCCCCCTGGTTACAGGGCAACACTATTGTCCGCCATGTTTCACGCCCTGACCACAGTCAGCGCCATGCGGGGGCTTTACCGAAACAGCTCACAGCACAGTCCACGCCCCTGTCCCGTGCGCCTGGTCTTTTTACGACAAAACCATCATCCTTAATTTGACAGCCATTAAAATGCTCACACAGTTGGCAAACGTTTGTAATAACCGGTGAGGGATTGGTCCAGACTTTAACAGACCACTGAAGCACCCAATAACACCAGTGCAAATTTTCTCGTACTTGTCTAACTTTACAGTGCTTCTGCTCCCCTGATCCGCAGCCGTCTGCACTCACTGCATGCATTTGTCGAGTGATTAAGAACTGTAATCAATCTATCATTAATCAAATCTAAATCTTCTTCAGGCCAATTTCCTTCATAGGCATAACGTCCCGAGGGAGTTTTTGATTCACTCTCCCAATACATTTGATCACAAGCAGCAGCATTAGCATAAATTCTATTAGCTTCTACAACATTAATTTTACCTGTGAATCCTGTATTATATCAGACAGCGGCATCATGTACTACTCTGGACGTGCAGTTAGAGTATAAATGAGGCATAATTACGGCGTAATTATTTGGTCCCTCTCAACAAAATTCACCTTTTCCCCTGTACCATATAGTATTTCTGGGAGGAGTACAGGCTTGGATACGACGTCTCCATTATTTTGGGTTCAAAACCTCCTGAGGACACAGTCAAATCCCTTTTCTCAGGTTACGTGATTTGACAAACACTGTTCCTAAATGGCAGGGGTCGTCCGAGAGGGCGTGTCTACCCTTCGGGTGGGGGTATTATAGTCCTTTGATGCCGGTCCTGGGTTCTACAAATCTTGGGTTCTTTAACTTGAACAAAGGAAAGATTCTGGATGAGGAAGGTGCCCGGCGCGTTAAATCAGCACATTGGGAACGCTGCTCTTCAGGCCTCGGAAGAGCAATTATTCCCTTCTCTTTTTGCAAGAGGCCTCGGATCATAAACACATTGATTTCCTATCAGGCAGACAAGCCACGCTGTGTGGTACGAACAAGCCCTTGGCAGAAGGGGGAGGCCTGGCCAAGCCCCTTGGTTTTGCTGAATCATCTTGGAAAATGTTAATGTCGGCCTGGAAAAGGCCTCATGGGGCAGGGAAGCTGGAGCCCCCTGCCTCTCTGGAGAAGGCTGTGCCACAATCCCAGGTCACCGCGAGTGGGTCACATGGCACCTGGTATTCTCCCCCTTGGTGGTATGAATGGTTTGGGCTTAGACTGTGTGCTGAGCAAGTGTTTTCCAAACCTACTGTGGGCCTGGCCCTTCCACCTGAGCCACCTGTCTGGCTCCTCACATCTCACCCCAGGCGAGGCGGGACTGTTTATGTCCTTACTCGGTGACACTAAGGTCCTGGGGGGGGAGTGACCCTACGAGTGCTGCAGAAACTCGAACTCCGGTCTTCTGGCTCCGCCCTAGGCTGTCACTCTTCCACAGGCCTTCCAGCACCGGATGGTCTGCGAGGAGAACGGCTGCCTACAGCCCTGCCCCCGAGATGTGACTGGACGCTCCTACCGGGCCCGGGAGACTGTGCGGCGGACAGAATGAGTTCCTCCTGGGTCTGTCACACCCTTCTGACCCTGACTGGCCCTTTCTGATGTCTGACTTCTGTTGACGAAGGCCTTTCTCAAATAATTATTCTCCGAGGCAGGGTGGGTGCCTGATGCTACCATTTTACATATGAATGAATTGAGGCTGTGGGATGCTGTGACTTGACCATGACTCGAGGCCAAGTCCAGGCTCTTTAGGGTGATGTCCCCCCGTGCCTGGCATAGCACCTTCCACATCAGCGGTCCCTCACTTCTTTGTCTCAAAAGAACACATGAACAAAGGGCAGACTTTCCATTTTTTTACTTAGTTTTGGGGCTTCCAAAGTGACCACATCAAAGACTGTGGCCCATTAAAGCAAGAAGGGGCTGTAGAGATCGTCCAAACCCCTCGTTCTACAGGTAAAGAAACCAAGGCTCAGAGAGGGCCAGTGACTTGCCCAGCGTCACACAGCCAGTCAAAGGCAGAGCAGACAGTAAATTTTTGTTTGGTGCTCTGGGTGATCTGCCGGGATGGAAGACCTCCCACGGAGGGAGGGGACTGGAGTGCTGGGCCTGGACAAACGTGCAGTACAAACGGTCCTTTCGGGTGGGGGTGGGTGCTGGTGATGCTCTCCCTGAGCTGCCTACACCACAAGGAGGGCCTGGGGGCGGAGGTGGACCGGCTGGAGCAGGGCCTGGCATCCAGCAGGCTTTTCTGAAGCTCAAAGGAAGAGGGGAGTGAGGGCCTCCTGAGGGCTTCACTGGGCATCTTGCAGGGTCTCAGAGCCAGAAGCGCCCTGAGCCAGGTTATTTCTGAAGACACCAAAGTTTCCCTGCCACTCGCCATGGAGCTGTGGTCTCAGGGGGCGAGAGAGAAGTACCACGGGACTGCTCAGAACTGTAAGGTCGCAGGAGGGGAGCTGTGAGCCGTCTCCAGCTCCCAGCTTGTCTGTCTTCCTTTTCTTCCCTGGCCCTTCTTGTCCATCTTCCTCATTCTGCTTTGCTTCCTTTCTCTGTCTTCCACTCTCTCCACACCCTGCCCCTCCCTGCCTACTCCTCATCACTCTATCTCTGGTCTCTCTGGGGTTCTACCCCTTTGTCCCCATCTCCCGCTGTTCCCCTGTCTCTCTGCCGGGCCTCCAACTCCCTCCCTGTCTCCCTCTTTCTCTCTTCCCGCCCCTCCCAGCCGATCCTGCCTGTCTTTCCAGTCTCTGCAGAAAGCCTTTTTCCCTTTCCTTCTGACATGGGTCTGAGAGCTCTGCCTCTGCCAGTCTCTCTCTCTCTTTCTCTCTGACTCTCCCAAGACCAGAGCCGGAGCCCTTGCTCCCTGCGACCCGCCCACGGCCTGTGAAAACCGCCCAGGGCCTCATAACCTGAAGGGCAGGATTGATGAGAAAATCAATTCCTGATTAGTGCCTTAATTTTAAGGATCTTTAGAGGAGACTAAACAGCAAGAGAGGCTGGAGGAGAAAGTCTGCATTATTAAAACCATAAATCCTCAGTAGGAGGGGCAGAGGAGAGGGCTGAAGGGAAAGCAGAGGGGAGCGGGCAGGGCTTCCTTTGGGGTAGGGCGTTGATGGAGGTGGAGGCCGAGGGCGCGGGCTGCCCCCTCCCTCCTCCACCCAAAGAGGCTTCCCTGGGGGTGGGGTGGGGACACAGCAGGAGCCCTCTGGCCACAACTTTGTGTTCCCTGAGTGCTAGGCTGGGCCACAGAGTGGGACTGCTGGCTTCTGGGTGGGGTTGGGGATGGGGAAACGGATGTCGTGTTGGTTCAACCTTGTTCTCCAACTGGCCTTGACCGCGGAGGCAAAGCATGTGGGATGAGTTAGACTGTTCACACCTAAATCCTGGCTCTGCTTCCTGCCTCAGCTTCCCCATCTGTTGGGTGGAGAAAATCATGGTCCCCCACCTCACAGGTGTGTGTGGCAATGGACCGAGAACGCACATAAAGTGCTGGCGCTTAGAAGGTACCCATTCAACGTGAGCTTTAGTTCTTACAGCTGGGAGAGAGCATTTCCCTCTCCGCCATGTCAGTTTGAGTCCCACCCCTTTGACAGGTAGATAAACTGAGGTCCGGTGGGCCAAGGCCACAAGAGCTTGAGCCCAACTCGGAAGCCAGGTCCTCCTCTGTGGGCATCCCAGGGCCTGCTCTCAGAGGGAGTCACACTTGCCGCTGGGAGGAGACAGGTGGGGAAAGGGTTGCTGAGAAGTGAGACTACATCATCCAGCAGACCCAGCATCTGGGGGCCGTATGGGCTGCAGGGCGGACGGGGGGGGGGGTGTTGTCCACCTCGAAGGGGTTCGGAACAGGCCTCCCTAAGACGGGCTACTTTGTCACGTGGATTATTTTCAGCTGAAGGCAATAGAGACCCTGCATACTCCAGATAACCTTTTTCTGGCTACTTTAAAAAATTTAACTTTGAGACCTTGCCCATATTTTTTAATGCTTTACTTGTAGAGCAGGGCAAACTTCTAGTTACGGAACATCTGCTCCTCCTACAGTCCGAGAACTGCCCCCCTCTCTTCTGCAGCCTCGGGGCATCCTTCCGGTCCCGGGTTCCGACGCCCCATAGATCTCCTGCGTCCTCTCCGTGGGACTTGCTCTTGCGGGCGCGCCTACGCTACGCACATACGTATTTAACTCGGTGATAGTCCTCTGTTCGTCTATCTCAAGTTGACTTAATTATTAGAACAGCCAGAAGAACCCAGAAGGGTGGGGTAAACTTTTTCCTTCTCCACAACCCTCTGTCCTGCCCCTGCCCAAGAGAATAAAAAACCCTCAGCCCCTGGCCAGCAGCCAAGGGCTGCGTGAGTGTGGCAGGTGGCACCTCGACCATCTGCCTGCCCCTGTGTACCTTCTGCCTTTAACTCTCGGGGGGTGGCTGGCCTTGAGGACCACTGCACCCCACAACTCCAGGGGGCAGCGTTTCTACTGTGTAGAGTATGGATTGCGTAATGCAGCGGGTGGGGGGAGGAAGATGGTAGCGAGGAAGCGGCCCCTCCACGGGATTGGCTCACTCCAGTTTTTTAGGTCCCACTTTAGAGGCAGGAGGGCTGTTTCTTCCGGGAAGGGGGCCTGCAGCAGGACCCTCATGGAGTAATTCCGAAGAAGGGGCTTGACGACTGTGTTGCGAGGAGGCAGGGGCGGTCTAGGGGCCCGGGCAGAGTCAACAGAGCCACTGAGCCCAGCCCAGAGGAAGGCCAGGGCCTGTCCTGCAAAGAGGGGGAAGAGGAAGAGGAAGAGTCCAGCCAGCTCCAGGAGTCTCTGGGGTCTGGGCTGGCCCCTCCCCTGGCCCCCCCACAGCAGGGCAGCTATCATCAGCCAGATAGGTCACTATATCCCCACCTGGCCAGGGCTCTGGGTCCCCCTGTGGCACATTCCCGGCTGATGGTGCCAGTTTGGCCCCAAGTCACTTTACAGGCTGCCCAAGGCCCACTTCACTGTGGTTTGTTTTAATAAGGAAGCTTGAGTGCGGAGGCGATTGGAGCCCTCCGCCAGCCCTGCCCTGAGAGTTCAAGGGCCCAGGGCCCCCTCTGGCTCTCACTTAATTGTTATTTTCCTGTTTAGTTTTAATTGTTAGAAATTGTCTCTGGAGCCAGTCCTCTTTCTGGTAGCCCCAGGGCGCATCAGAAGGGGGAAGAACTTGGCTGTCTGGGGTGGAAGGGGGGCGGCGGGCCACTGGCCTCGTTTCCCTGCTTCCCTGGGGAATCCGTCCACATCCTGGCTCAGCTGGGGTCCGGGAGGAGGCAAATTGTGAGGTGACAATATTTCAGTTTAAAGTCCAGACGAGCTGGTGTGGAGAGTATTTGGTTAACGGACTGCTTGGTGCTCACTCTTGTGTGGCTGCTTTCTTGCTGGGTGATCTTGGGAAAGTTGCCTACCCTTTCTGTGCCTTACTTTCCTTGTCTGTAAAGTAGGAACACTAATACTCAGAGGGCTATTGTGAGTCTCTCCCCCAAACCTTAGCCTGATGTGGGGCCCACTGCCCCCCTGCTGGGTGCCCCAGGCTGGGTCCCATTCCCCCAGGGAGGCATTCAGCCACCTCCCCTGGGACACCGGCTGCTGCTGCTCGGTGGCTGCAGGACCCTGCTGCTGTTGAGCCTCACTGAGACGTGGTCCTGGTCAGCACTGGGAGTCCCCCCTGCAGCACCCAAGGCCCACCCTCCTGGTTTTGCCCTGCTCAGTCTCTCATCTTGCCCTCCGTCTCGTTAGCAATTGCCTCCACCCCTGCTGCCAGCAATACCACCCTAAGGTGGCACCGGGTTGCAACGGCTCATATTTCCCAGTTGAGAAGACAGAGAGGTTATTCTCTCACATGCAATGGCTCACTCATCCCCCACATATCCCTCCAAAGCTGCTATCATCACCCCATCTGCAAAGCAGGAGACTGAGGCTCAGTGAGAATAAGTGACTTGCTCAAGGTCGCACAGCTCGTGTAAGTGTGAAAGGATTGGAACTTCTGTCTATCTGCAAACAAGCAGGTATAGACCGGGAGAGGAAGTATGTGGAGGGGGGGCCCGAGGAAACATGTGGGTAGATGGTGAGGCCCCAGAGTGGTCCCAGCGCAGGAAGAGCAAGGAGGAGAGAGAGGAAACAGGAAGGAGGCTGGGCTTGTGGAGGGTGCCTTTCTGTATCGCAGCAGCGTGAAATAGCTGGGGAGTCCTCTGGAGAAGGAGGGTGATGAGTGGAGGTCTGGAGAGGACCCCACATTGCTGGGCTGAGGAGCACTTCCACCCTCTACCAGGTTTTCAGACTCCGTATGTTGTAACTAATGGCATGACCGAGAGGGAAGAGCGCTGGCTTAGCAGGCAGGACTGGCCTTGCCATAACTCTCTAGATTGCTGCTTTCTGTGTGAGTTTAGGTAAGCAACTTAACCTCTCTGTGCCTCAGTTTCCTAGGCTATAAAATGGCAGTGACGACACGCACCTTGCAGGGCTGGACTGAGTCTTAGATGAAAGGCAGCGGCCAGACGGCTCTTTGCAGGTCCAACGGCTCCATAGTGGTGGCTGTTTTCAGGGTTCGTCCTGCCCCCACTTGAGCTCCAGTTTATTTAGACAGAGCCCGGCCCCTGTCTGCATCTCCATTTCCTGGTCTACGAAAACGGGGAGGCGGGAGAAGTCGACCCGAACAGTCCTTCGGGCCAGGATGGATAACTTCAGGCCGGCCAGCCTCCCCCTGGAGCTGCAGGAATGTGGACAGGGAGCCGCTGGGGGCAAAAGGGTTTCCTGTGGTGGCCTGTTTTCCTGGCAAGCGGAGTGAAGGCAGTCATTTGTCCTGGGCCTGAGGAGATGCAAATTGGAACAACAGGAAGAAGATGCTCTGGGGAAAAGAACTGGCTGAGTGGAGGTCATGTTCACCTCCAAGCTGGGAAGCAATCAGGGCAGGAAGGCCCGGCTGCTCAAGCCCCTGCTTACAGCCAGTGTTCAGGGATGAAGGCCATTAGAACTGGGCAGGGAATTGCGTCAGCCGCTGTGGAACCCTAGGCCTTGCTGGACGTGTTTCACAAATAGCCAGGGACCTGTCAGCTCAGGCCATGAAGTCAAGGGCAAAGCCTGGGTTTCCCTGCTTTTAATCCCAGAGAGCCGGAGAGGGATCCCCTACAAGCAATTCTGCAAAGCCACAGGCCCTGGGCTCTGTAGCCCCGCTGGGCCGGCATCTCTCATCTACCTCTCTGGTGCTGGTTGACCTTATGTGGTTTCCTTGGCCTAGCTGAGCCTCAGTTTCTGTATCTGTGAAATAGAGATAACCATAGTAACTTCTCTGCAAATGCTGTGATATGCATAGAAGAGTGGCTTGCACATGGCAAGAGCTTAATAAACATGAGCTGGCTGGTGTCCCCCCTCCTTACCACACCCGTGAAGTGGTGGTTGCTGTCCCATCATGCAGGTGGAAAAACTGAGGCTGGAGATGGAGTGAGTGAGTGTCTAAGGACGTGGAGTTAGTTATAAGCAGTAGAGCAGGAGTGGGGCCCCTGGGCTGGCTGACTCCCAGGTCTGAGACGCCCCCATCCCTACCCCTATGATGGGTGCCTGGGGTGCTGAGCAGCAGTGGGAAGGGGGAGGATTCTTTTTCCCTCAAATACTTTCAGTGGAGCTGAGAGAGGTTCTCAGAGTGCAGGCTGTCCTGGGGTGGGGACATCTGTCCAGTCACCTTTTCTCTTTGTTTAGTGGCAGTTTTTTTAATTTCCTGAGCCCTGCCACGTGTCATCAACCATACAGATATGCCATCACATTAGCTCATTTATCTGCACAACAGCCCTGCGAGGTAGGTGCTATTTTTCCGTATTTCCCAGTAAAGAAGACAGAGAGGTTATTCTCTTGCCCTAAGCCACACAGCAGGTCAGAGCCGGCAGGGCCGAAACCACAGGCCTCTGCGCCTCTCCTTTTCAGCCAGTTATAGCACTAGGGCGTGATGCCCATAGACAGTCATGTGCCTGCCCTGCGCCTCCGTTTCCCCATCTGCAGAATGGGAGTGATGAGGACAGTACTGACCAATCTTTGAGGAGTGTTGTGAGATCAACTTGCTTAATGTACACAAAACATTCGGGACAGTGTCTGACTCAGAGTGAGTTTTCCATAGGTAAAAATTAGCTCTTTTCAGCTGCTTTCCTCTGCAGTCACCCCCAGCTATTCACCGCATAATTAATGATGATTATCTTATCTCTAGGGAATGAAATAGATGTACCACGTCTGCGAAGCCAGTTATACTAGATCTGCCTGCCCTTCTCCTGGAAGATAAGGGCTGAATATGCTGAAACCAAGGTGGTGATCTCTAAATATTGTTCAGAAGCAGAATTTGGGAGCAGGAGGAAAAACTGTTGGCCTGGGTTTGCAGATGTCCCTAACTATTTTCCTCTTTGTTTATTTTAAAACTTCTAAACCAGGGTCTTCATAGAAAAGGGGACCAGGCCTGGGCAGGATCCATGGCCAGAGTGGCCTCAGCGAGTGGGCCCTGTGTGAGAGCCGATTCCTGAATTCACCTGGGGAGGGGGCTTCCCAGGTCATCTGGTCCAGGGTCCCTCTCTTGAAAGAGGTAGGGATCCAGGCCTAGAGAGGGGAAGTGACTTATGCAAGGTCACACGCAAATCGATGGGGATCAGAACTTCAGGCTCCCCGATCACTCCTCATGACCTTAACATTGACGGGATGCCTCACTTTGGCCTGGCATGGACCACAGAGTAACAAGGGGAGAGAGGGGGGTTCCAGTCCTCATGGGTCTCACCACTCGGCTGGCCCAGGGCTGGGCTGCCTGTAGACTGGAGAATGGAGCCAAGAGAACTGGTTCTAGTCTCAGCACTGCTGTTTTCTAGCTCTGAACCTGGGCGAGGTCACAGAGAAGTCATGAGTATCACCAGAGACAGGGGTCCTGCCCGTATTTGTCTGGCCTCTTGGAGTTTCCTGAGAGCAACCACAGTGTCCCCTCCGCCAGTCCCCCTCTCACAGGGCTGGGGCGGGGAGAGAATCTTCCAAGTCCCAGTTCTTGGCTCCTTCTCTGGCCCCGGCTCCGGGTTCGTGCAGCAGCTATTGCCATAATAACGCTGTGAGACAAACCATCCGCCAGACTCCGTGGCTTCCAGCAACAAGCATTTATGCTCCCATTTGTGGGCCTGTGCGTTTTCCTGATCTAGGATGAGCTCAGCTGGGTGCTCTATTATAGACTGCAGGTTGGGTTCAAGTTCATTCAGGTTCAGATATGTCTGTTCTATGACCCCTGCTGAAGGGCAGCAGCTTCCCAGAGCAACCTCTTCTTATAGGGTCCACCCGAGAACAAGAGAGCTGGTCACTCCTTACAAGCACGTTTCCAGCCTCCGCTCTGCCATGTTCACTAATATTTCTGGCTCAAAGCAAGTGACACAGTCAAGTCCAACTTAAGGAGACAGGAAGTGTGCACAGTGGGAGGAGGAGGGTAATGAATATTTGCTGAATAATAATCCAATTTCTCGTGGCTGGAAGGCCCTCAACTTGTGAGACCCCTTTGCCCCCCAGGGTTCAAATGCAGAGGAAAGAGGTAGCCTAGGCTAAATGAGAGCTGTAGACGGAGTGAGCCCTTGTCCCCAGGCCAGTCCTTGTCCTCTGGTGTCTCCATTCTCTACCTGCAAGGCCCCTTCTAAGGGCTCTGCCCGCCCCAGGCCCTTCTGCCCAGTGCCCCTGCCCCTCAGTGCAGCTGAAGTCTTTGCAACACAGAAAGACAAGGCCCCGTGCGGCGCCCAGCTGGCTGACATTTGGGCCCGCAGACACTCCCTGAGAAGTAAAGCAGATCTAATTTCCGCCCTGTGAAAAACGGTCGTCTCGCACCCAGGCAGCCCTGGCTCTGGGGCAGCCAGCTGCTCCCGTGGTGGGGACAGAGGTGTATAGATCTCCAGATTAGGACCAGCCGCAGGCACGTGGGTGCCGGTATGTGTGAAATCTTCACCCTTCTCTGTGGGTGTGGAGGGTGGTGGGTGAGAGGGCCTGTGGCAAGGCAGGTGGCCGTGTTGGGCGTGCAGGGGCTGGGCGAGGCCGGTCTTGGAGGCCAGAGTAATGTCCTCTCTCTGACCCTCAGATTCTTCATCTGAAATGAGGGTGGGTTCTGGAAGGCCCTTTCTGGCTCTCAAGCCATAGGGCTCTAAGTGGATGTAACTACCTTCGTTCGAAGACTGAGTTTTGTAGCTCAAATATAGGTATCCAGTTCCCAGGCCCCATCCTTCCCCCCCTTCTCTGACCCTAGACATGCTCGATTGGACGCATCACCCCTCTACCACCTGCTGCCTGGCATGCTATCCCTGTAGGTAGCTGGCTGCCGGGGCCAGTGGTGCCTTCTTGAAGCTTGACACAGGCCAGCCACAGCGGGGAAACACAGGTCCTCATTCCCCTTTCCCAAAAGGCGCCCCTCATGGGGCCTGGCTCCAGAGGGCTCAGCCAGTCAGGGACCTAGAGATGGAACAAGCTTCTCAAAAAGATGGCCACTGTGTTCTCAGACAGGATCTCCCCTGATAACCCGGAGGAAGCTCCATGTGCCCTCAAAGGCCCTCTAAGGGCACAAAGCCGGGCTGTGCCCACATGCTGGGCTGGAGAAACTCCAGGAGGCAGGGGGGCAAGGCTGAGCTGCGGGTGAGAGCTGTCTCAGGAGACTGGCAACCTTGTTCCATGGTCCTTCACCGCTTTTGGCAAAGGTAAGTTAGTGGGTAACAATGTCCAGATAGGGATGTGAGAAGAGGAAGCTCCATCTGCGCTCAGCTGCCTTGTTGGCTCCCCACCCTCCGGGGATTCTTAGATGTCAGTGTCCCCCTGAGCTTGGTCCCTGAGTGCCATCCTCTGCACAAGCCCAGCCACCCTCGTGACATCAGGGACCAGTGTTACAAGCTGATCCCTGCTGCCCTCTTTTCTGAGGTTCAGACCCATAGACAATCCCATATAAAATTTGGGGTGCTGTCACCAGGCTAAAAAGGGCAAGAGAGGGAGCAGCTGCCAGAGCCTGGAAGAGGGAGGTGTACAGAAGGAGTCACCTGAAGGAGCTGTGGCCCACAGAGGGACGTGGCCTGCCTGTGGAAAGCAGACAGAGGGGGAACTAAGCACCCCACTCACACCCCTCCCTCCCTCTGCTCTCCTGCCCCATTATTGGAACCAGCCAGAAGCTAATGGGCAACGGTCAGGGAGCAGACGCTGCCCCTGCTGTCAGCCTTCCAGGTGCAAACAAAAGGTGCCCAGATCAGGGAATGCTGGGAAGGAAGGGGTCCTCAAGACGTGCTAGGCCCATTGTCATCTCTCTTTCCGCCTTTGAGCATTTTCTTCCTGTGGGCATCAGGTTCAGGGCCTGGGAAGTCTCGGGGGTTTGGATTCAGACAGACCAGAAGCTGAATCCCAATTCCAGACCTCACTGGCTATGTGACCTTGAGCAAGTTCCTTCATCTTCATGCATCTCAGTGTTCTTATCTATAAAATGGGAATAAGAATAACTAACTCAAAGCACTGTTGAGGGGTGAATGAGAAAATGTACAGACAGTGCTTGGAACATAGTAAGTGCTCAATAAACGGATCTCATTTTTACCCAGACCTGTGTATTGTTATCTCTCGGCTGACCTTGCAGAATCCAAGACCCCACACTGCCTCCAGAATGCTCTCCCTAAGACCCTGGTCAGAGTATGTCACAGTCTTCCTCAAAAATCATTCATGGGTCCCCTGTGCTCAAAGAATCAAGTTCAAGTCCTATAGTTTAACAACCAAAGCCAACAGCTT